AGGCTACAGCACGAGCCCAGAAACATCACACTTGGCAGAAGCAGTCAGACATGCAGGGCCACGAGGTGTGAGACTCCACCCATGTGACATGCCCATGACAGGTGAACCCAGAGATAGACGTAGGTCAGCCACCTCAGGGGGCTGAGGAGTGAATATTCAGTGGGTATTAAGTTTCTTTCTGGGGTGATGACAATGTCCAGAATTAGATAATGATGATGGTTGCACCACCTGTGAATATACTAAAAACTACTGAATTATTCACTTTGAAAGGATGAGTTAATTGTGGCCTATGAATTCTATCTTGAGGTTTGAAAACTGCAGTATAAGGGATCACATTTATGTAGAGGCTGGAAGGAGGCCTGAAGAAAACAGAAGTCACCCAGGCAGAGCCCAGGATTCAGGAAATGCTTTTATTTTCCCAGGTTTCTTTCTTCTGCTTTGAAATAGCCTCATCATTTGAACAACCACCTTCCTAAAGACAGCAGCAACAAGTATAGGAAGCAGCAGATGCTGCGAACATCTCCTGGTACAACCAGTAGGAACGTATGGGTCCAGCACAGCGTTCCCCTCAGGCTTGCCAGCTGGAAGCCTCTCCACCAGTGGCCCCATTCTGCACCCAGCTCAGCAGCTTCCCTCTCCTCAGACCACTCAGGCCCCACGTCAATCAACCCCATGCAAATGCACTGCAAAGCACCCTGCTCCTTAGAGGACCACAAAGATGAGGACAAGGACTGCTCTGAGTTCCCCTCACCACAATTACAGAAAGAAACAGGTGCTGCCCACTGCTGGCCCCACCTCTGGGAAGAGACCCGGGAGCTTCCCAGCCTTGGCCCCAGGACTCCCTTACCCCCTACCCCACTACACAACTTAGACTAGATTTCTCCTGGTCAGCACTAGAAAGGGCAACACAACAGACAAGCAGAGAAAGGGCTTCAAGGGGCTGCAACAGTGCACCTGCCTGCACCCCTCCAGGCCTATGCTCCACATCGATATCAGAGATAGTTAACCCAACTGGCCCAGCCCAAGTTTCAAATCACCTGCCTCGCTCCATTAGTGCTGGCTCCAACGCCTATGCTTTATAACAAAATTAAGCAGGTGAGAACCAGACATACCTGCCCTGACAGGCCCTAGGTGTGGGCACGCTGCCCCCTGGTGGCCACTCTGTACCCATTCACAGGACCTGGAGCAGAGAGCCCAATCCAGCTCTGCCCAGGATCTATACTAGGTTCCAGTCACTTTGAAACAGCACCAACCATGCTCCACAGTCCCAAGTGAAGCACTGTCCCCAGACTCCACAGCCGTGCCAGGGGACAATGCTTACCAGAGCCTGCAGCGTCCCGTCCATGGCAATAACCCCCTCCAGGGTCTGGAAGGAGGAGCGGGCCAAGGTACACAGGCTCCAGTCCAGGAAACCAGCCATCTTCTGTTGCTTGACGTCGGGGCGCGTGATGAATCTGCCAGAAGGAAAGGCACAGCGGGTCACGGCCCACAGAGACCTCCTACAGCAAGAGCCAGCTCACATCTCCCAGGGGCCCTGCAGAGCTCACACCCCTCACTATGGCTCTCCAAATGGATGGCTGCTCTGCACTGAGTCCTGCTCTCCTCATCAGGTCCTCCCCAAATAAATGAAGTTACTGCCTAGAGCATGACCTTGCTTGGGTCACACAGGCTTCACCACCCAGTCCCCTCCCTAGACCCAGCTCCACATCCCTTAGCCTCAGGACCGCATACTCCCAGCCCCGTGTCCTTGTACCACACAGGCCTGTTTCTGCAGCCTAGCCCCTCATGCAGAGCTCCAGCTATATCCCACAGACCTGCTGGACATAGCCTCACATTCCTCTGGTAGCTTGGCCTCAGCTGACCACTGAAGCGCCCAAAACGAAAGCCTGCACCCTCTTTATTCTTCCACCAAGAGCCCTGCCCAAGTGACTTAAGACTGGCCCTGTTGGCCCAGCACAGTGGCTCATGCCTGTCATCCTAGCACTCTGGAAGGCCCAGGCAGGTGGATTGCTTGAGCTCATGAGTTCAAGACCAGCCTCAGCAAAAGTGAGAACCCCATCTATACTAAAATAGAAAAACTGAGTCAAGAGGATCACTTGAGCCCAAGAGTTGGAGGTTGCTTTGAGCTATGATGCCACAGTACTCTACCCAAGGCAACAGCTTGAGACTCTGTCTCAAAAAAAAGAAAATACTGGCCCTGCCACAGAGTCCAGGGCAGGTCCTGCCCTCCCACCTCCCACAACTGACACTCAGGGGAGAAACATCAGGGTGAAGACAGGGCACAGCACTTCCTCAGAGCAGACACAGAGATAGCTCTAAGAACGTATGTGAAGATGCTGAAAAACCCAGTGGAAAAGGTGTGCTGTCCAAGGTGGCAGCAAGAGCCACAGCCAAAGGGTTGAAAGGAGATCAAGGAATTCAGGGAAGGCAAAGAAGCTGGGATGGTTGGGAGCAGAGACGTGGGAGGCAGGATGGGGTCGGCCAGGCTGTTGTGCAGGCCTAACTGGGCTTGGGGGAGAAGACCATGCTGTGCACACTCAATATACTGACGAAAGACAAGAAATACAGCTGGTAAACGTGGGGAAAAGGGACTCTCAATTCAGTCAGCCCCTCTGGTAACTGCATTTAAACCCCTAAAACATTTGTCCCACCTGGAGGAATTTATCAGTTCTGTGCAGGCAGCTCGTGACAATTTTAGTAACAAATTGGGAGGGCAGCAGTCTGAATGTTCAACAGGGGACAGGTAAAAAGCTGCACACTCCCATGAGGCAGCCACATGGTGGAGGACATGAAGCTTCGGGCCACTCACTGGCAGTGGCACTAACAGGCGAGCACAGTGCCTTGACCGCAGACAGGCAGGACACAGCATTCACACCCCGCCAGTGAAGGAAAGTGGCTTTATTTCGTACTTCATATTTTATTTTCTAAAATACATATGATCACTTTTATAATTAGAAAAAGACCTGCAAGCCTTTTACATCCTTGATGACAGCACTTCTCCCCAGCTCTTCACTTGTGCCAGGGACTCATGGGCTCCTTCGTCACACCTTCCAAAAGATAGCCCCTCTTCGGGTCAGCCACACACTTAGCGCATGCTTTCCAAATGCCTGGGCCTGTGCCCTGGCCCTGCACAGTCAAGGCTGCACACCCAAGTGTGAGGAGACCTGACAAAATTGCCAAAAGATCTGACAACCGACTTTCACCAATGTAGAGGGGAAAATGCCAACTTTTCTAATGAATTTAACTATATACAGTTTTTTTTGTTTTTTTTGAGACATAGCCTCAAGCTGTCCCCGTGGGTAGAGTGCCATGGCATAGCTTACAGCAACCTCCAACTCCTGGGCTCAAGCCAGTCTCCTGCCTCCGCCTCCCAAGTTGCTGGGACCACAGGCGCCCGCCACAACGCCTGGCTATTTTTTTTCAGTTGCAGCCATCATTGTTGTTTGGCGGGCCCAGGCTGGATTCGAACCCGCCACCTTAGGTATATGTGGCTGGCACCTTAGCCACCTGAGCCACAGGCACCGAGCCTATGTACAGATTTTAAATTAAATGTCATAAAATACTAATTTAGAAAAACTGCTTTCTTACAATCTAGCATCTCACAGAACAGGCTGCTTCAGCCTCCACGTGCACCTGTGGCATCTTTCAGACAGCCCTAGCCTGCCATTTTGGCCATTTACCAGGCCCAGGGAAAACCATCGTCCTGACTACAGTGCAACCACTGTCCAGCTAACACAGGATAGCAGAGATTTGCATGCCCAGCCACACTACCCATCAACCACTCATAAGCCAAAGAGACTTGGCTGCTGCCACCCCGTGGGGCCAGGCCCCAGGCAGCCCTACCTGCACCCCAGGCTCAGCCATCCTATGCCCATCAGTGTGTGCACCCCCTCGCAGAAGACAGGATCTGAGAAGTGCAAAGACTCCACCAGCTGCTTCATCTGTGGGTATGACACTCACACAACACCCCAGATGATCCCTCAGCAGCCTGCACAGCCACAGGAACTTACCTGGACACGAGGACAGCGGCTGCATCTCGGGCCTTGTCACTGACCACCAAGTAGGACTATAAGAAAATACAAAGGACAGGCACTGTCACCCCCCAGGAGGCAGAGCTCAGGGAACCCCACATAGCCAGCCCCATGTTTACTAGCTCTCAGGGGCCCAGGCACAGGAAGCTACAGACAGAGGCCAAATTCCAAACTTACACAAACCATTAACCCTGAACCAACAGCCACAGCTACCGACTGCCACACTGATCCAGAGCTTGTGGTCACAGCCCCCTGACACACACGTTCACAGAAAGAGGGCAGGAAAACAGAGCACACATGATACTCAGTTGCAACAGCAATAAGAGCATTCACAAGACCCAACACACCCCTACCACTCCCAGCCACGGGGTTCCTCAGCATTTTAGTATCCAGACTAGTTAGAAAGCCCCATTCAAACGCAAGAGGACCTAATTTATCACAAATGCCTAGATATTTTTAGGGGGCCATGCCTTAAGAGGCTTCCAATTCTCAACTAATTTTGTTTTTCCAAATGACACACTTAGATCTTTTTTCTAGGGCAATCACATACAGAACACTAGGTCTTTAGAAACTGCACACCCTCTGACCTGGCAGTCCCTCTCAGAAGACGAGTAAAGGAGGAACATATGATGACCAACATGGATGGCTCTTCATGGCCACATGAATGTGGACACAACAGAACTAGAAACAAAATGTCCACCTATGGAGGCATTTTTTAAATTAGGGCACAATGGAGTACCTTGTCCCTTCAACCTTTACAATGGAGGTTTTCTTCTCTCAGAGATTATGAGGAGACACTTACTAACAGGACTCTCAGAACAGTCTGTCATAGGCCTTCTTCTAGAGGGGCAGTGATGGACAGCACAGACTCCAGTCACCTGCCTGGGCTCAAGTCTGAACCCACCATTTATGAGCAAAGCACTGTCCACATTACTTTTTTCTATGCCTTTGCCACCTCAGTTAAATGGGAGTAAAAACTGTTAACTACCCCATAAAACAGAATTAAATGATTAATCTACTCATCACAGATTCATATGGTTAATCATATTAATCAATGAGCTACAAATCAATTTACAGATGAAATCTATATATGATTGATTAAAGGATAAGCTATGAAAAGTGTTCAGAACAGGGCCTGGTACACAGCAGGCTCTCGAGGAATGCTGACCACTCCTGTAGGTATAGCAGGCAGACCCCAAGATGGCCTCCTGGTGTCCACGCCCCATGTCAAGCCTCCCCTCATGTGGATGTGCAGTGATTGGCTTCTAACCAGCAGAAGCTGGCAAGGGGTTCTCATGTCACTTCCATCACCAGCCACAGGTCATTGTGATTTCTGTTTCACTAGCAGAACCCTCTCTCTTGCTGACTTTGATAGAATAAACTGCCAGGTTAGAAAAGCCCATGTGGCAAAGAACTAAGACAGCAAAACAGGCCCTCAGGCCAGCAGCCAGACAGCCTGGGCAGATCCTGCCTAAGTCCAACCTTGAAGCAGAGCACCAGGCCAGCCAGAGTCCTGACCACAGAAACCAGGTGAGGATGCAACTGTGTCGTGTTAAACACTCAAGTTTGGGGCAATTTTATGCAGCAATAGGTAACTAATACAATAAGTTATGTTTATATGCATAATATTTGCAGCAGGAAAAGTTTAAAAAAAATATAAAACTGTTATCTTTTGGCACTAGAATTCGACATATTTTAGTATGGTATTTTTGTGGTCTATATTTCCAAATTTTTCTGCAATGATCATTATGGTATATAATGTTTTACTATGAACTAAATGTAAAATGAGTACTTTTCTCTTCCTATTGACCCTGAAACCTCTCTCTTCCATTATGCTCAAAAGAATATTTATATCATCAACAAAGAAAGTGGGATTTTTACCCCACTGCAAAACAGCAGTTGAAGAAACACATGGCTACTGAAAGCTTCCCTAACTAACTGCTAACACCAAGACAGCAGGAGCATGGGGGAGCCAGATGAGCCAGACTGCCTGCAAGTCATATTTACCTGTGCAATTTGGAGAATACGGTCCATGATGGACGCCCGCGTTTGCCCCGGTTGGATAAGGAGGTTCCCGTCAAGGCGTGAAAAATCGAAAGGTATCAGGCAGGTCACAGATAGCCACAGTAAGAGCATGTAGCGGGTCTCCCAAGTCTAAGAAGTCAAGACACAATAATAAAGATTCCTGACACAGGTCACCCCCTCCTTACAGTCGGCCACTCTTCCTGCCCACCCAATGGCCTAAAGGACCCTCAAAGGCCATCGGGCTCAGGGGCAGGGATGCAGGCCACCTGTCAGCTCTTCTCACACCCCCAGAGTCCCCACCATGCACACCCACTGTTTCACTGTCCTCACTCAGCAGACTCAGCAGACAAAAGAAACATCAAAGTGAACAAACAAAAATCATAATGCATAGTGTCAGGGCTTCTCCTCACTGGCACATTTCAACATGCAAATCTGCCTTTCAGGAAGTGAAAAACAGATAAAAAGAAAAACCAGACAATAATTGGGTGGCACCTGTAGCTCAGTGGGTAGGGCAACAGCCACATACACCAAGGCTGGTGGGTTCAAACCCAGCCCAGGCCTGCTAAAACAACAATTGCAACACAAAAAAATTGCCAGTGTTGTGGTGGGCACCTGTGGTCCCAGCTACTTGGGAGGCTGAGGCAAGAGAATCGCTTAAGCCCAAGAGTTTGAGGTTGCTGTGAGCTGTGACACCACAGCACTCTACCCAGGGCGACAGCTTGAGACTCTGTCTCAAATATATATATAGAGAGAGAGAGAGAGAGAAAACAAAAGACTTAAAAAAAATTCTCAACTTATGGTAAAAGAAAGAAGTGCCTTTATTTTCGGTAACCAATAACACAACACTGCAGCTGGCAATGCAGTCCTGCCAGCGGGAGCACCAGAGGTACTCTAGAAAGGTCACCAGGACCAGAGGCAGGGAGACACCCCCACCAGTCCGCAGCATGACCAGGCACGTCCATATCAAGAGGACTCCGAGACGCTAGTAACAAACCTCACCCTCTGAATGTGCACTGTGCAGGGAAGATCCTGACTGCAGGCCACTGCCATCCTCAGAAAGGCTGCAGCCAAAGTAGGCCCTTGGCCAGCACTCGGGAATGGGTTTAGCCCAGATTCCCACCAAGCTCTGACTGAGGAGGTACCCATGGCCTCAGATTGCCTGTATAGGCCCAGGTTCACACTGGGCACCTGTTCTCCCTCTGGAATCTAGAATTCTGTCCTATGCTAGGCAGAGGTGTCCACAGGACCAGATCCCAGTAAAAGCCCTAGAATCTGGGTCCCCCATGCGCTTACCTGGAGGATGTAGCACACATGAGACCCCCCAGGAGGAGACTAGGAGCTTGAGCCTGCTGACTCGGACTCCATCCCATATGCTTTTTCCTTTGCTAATTTTGCTTTGCATTCTTTTGCTATAACAAATCATAGCCAAGAGGGCAAACATAGGTCGAGTCCTATGAGTCTTCCTAGAAAACCATTAAACCTGGGTGTGGTCTTGGGAACCCCCAATAGTTACACCTCCAGTAAAAACATACATGGACAGGCTCAGCGCCTGTGGCTCAAGCGGCTAGGGCGCCAGCCACATACACCTAAGGTGGCGGGTTCCAGTCCCCAGCCCGGGCCCGCCAAGCAACAATGATGGCTGCAACCAAAAAATGGCCAGGCGCTGTGGTGGGCGCCTGTGGTCCCAGCTACTTGGGAGGCTGAGGCAGGAGACTCGCTTGAGCCCAGGAGTTGGAGGTTGCTGTGAGCGTGATGCCATGGTACTCTACCCAGGAGGACAGCTTGAGGCTCCGTCTCAAAAAAAAAAAAAACATACATGGACAGTGACAAACTCATCATCAAATCTGTACCCAGGCACAGTTCTTCATAAAGGGCTTATTTTAAAGGAAATAACTAGAAGCACCATGTGTTAATAAGAAAGCAAAAATAAAAGAAGTGACACAACATGAGGTAAAACAGAGGGCCCAGGAGGATGCCAGGCGCCACCACAGGTGCACAGCAGTGAGCAGATGTGCAGAGAAGGAGCAGCACTCACCTCGTGGTCCTTAGGGTTCTGACTTGTGATCAGATCTAAAACAGGCTCCACATCAGCTACTTCATGAGGGAGTAAACGAAGAACTACTTTATATCCTCGAACCTACCAAATTAAGGGACACTGAATTACTCCCAAATTAGAAAATGCAGAGAGCAGCAGAATTATCTTTTTCCTCTCATTAAAAATCACCACTATTGGCCAACTGTGGTGGCTCATGCCTATACTCCTACCACTTTGAGATGCCAAGAAGAGAGAATCACTTGAAACCTGGGGTTTGAGACCTCATCTCTACAGAAAAGGAATTAGAAATTAGTCAAGCATGATGGTGGCACCTGTAGTCCCAGCTGCTCAGGAGGCTAAGGAAGGAGGATCGCTTGAGTCCAGAGTTTGAAGCTGCAGTGAGCTATGATCATACCACTGTACTTCAGCTTGGACAACAGAGGGAGACCCTGTCTCTTCAAAACATAACAAAACAGACTGGTCTGAGTACAGCGCTGTTTACAACTAATTGATAAAGATTCCTTTGTTCCTTCTCCCTTCCCACTGCTTCACCTGAACGCCTTTAAAAAAAAACAAATCCCACCTATGCCACCCAATGATCAAATTATGTTATATTACAGAGATACAAATTAGCAACACTAAAGCAACAAGAAAGCTATCCTTGCTTCTTTAATCATTCATTCATTAAATATGTTCTATCCTAATCTAACAAATCCTGTACATGGCTCAAAAATACAGACACATCACAAACTAAAATTAGTTGATTCCACTTTGTCTGATTGCCCTCTGACATTTATGAAGAATGAGCACTAGAGAACCCCAAAGATTCCCAAATTCACTAATATTTCCCTAAAATGCAGTTATCACCCCTCAGGAGGAATGCTACACTCGAACAACCAAGCTGCAGAGGAGCATGGATACTGGGCAGCTGCCCCCACACATCAAAAGTGCCACAATCCTTAACCCCTAAAAACCACAAGCCCCACCCCAAGCCACTCCCACGGTCAAAATTGCAAACAAGGGCTCGGTGCAATGGCTGACACGTGGAAGCCGAGTCGGGAGGACCACTTGAGGCCAGGAGTTTAAGTCAGTGTGAGCAAGAACAAGACTCCATCTCTACTAAAAATAGAAAAAAAATTAGTGGGGCCTTATGGTGGGTGCCTGTAATCCCAGCTACTTGAGAGGCTGAGGCCAGAGGATTGCTTGAGGTCAGGAGTTTGAGGCTGCCATGGACCAGGCTGACACCACAGCACTCCAGCTTAGGTTACAGAGTGAGACTGTCTCAAAAAAAAAAAAAAAAAAAATGCAAACAATAAGTCTGTGGGCCAGCACACAGATATCACCCACAAGCTATGAGAAAAGCTGCACCCTTCACCTACTTACTCAAAATCTGTAGTATAACAAGACTCCCCAGAAAACTCATCTGCACAATGAAGCTTGAGAAGCATTTCCAACTCCATCAAGTGTTTTTGGTTTTTCCTTTATCAGAACCCTTTCTGAGCCAGTCTTCCTTCCTACCCTGCTTCCTTTCCTAGCTGGGTACAAGACACTCAGCACCTTGGATACTGCGTCAGCCATAGGACCCCAGGGATCAATAAGGTATCAATAAGGTCTGATTCTCAACAGATGGTAAAAGAAAAAGAGACCCACAAGCTGGGCCTAAGAGCCACCCTACCTGAGAGAGAACACTAGGGAGGGCAGCTTAGGGACCAAACCTATCAGGGAGGTGCCTGCCAAAGCTATGTTAGCTTTACCTTGGTGATGATGTAAAGAAATTTAAAAGCCAGATGTATGAGGGAAGCTGGAGATGTCTTATCTTGCACTATGTCCAACAATAAGTTCATCATCCATTCTAGGGAAAACACATATCAAACATTTTCTGTAAGATTAAGCATCAAAATGGAACTGAATCAAACTACCAAAATAAAAGTTTACTTAGAAATGTAAGACTGGCTCAACATTACTAAACTTATGAAAGCAATAGAAAAAAAAAAAAACATACATTCATCTTAACAGTTTCTGAAAGGGCATTAAGCGTTTATACAATAATCATCAACTTTTATTTTTTTTGAGACAGAGCCTCAAGCTATCCCCCTGGGTAGAGTGCCATGGCATCACAGCTCACAGCAACCTCCAACTCCTGGGCTCAAGCGAGTCTCCTGCCTCAGCCTCCCAAGTAGCTGGGACCACAGGCACCCACCACAGCACCTGGCTATTTTTTGGTTGCAGCCGTCACTGGTGTTTGGTGGGCCCAGGCTGGATTTGAACCCGCCACCTTAGGTGTATATGGCTAGCACCTTAGCCACTTGAGCCATAGGCGTCAAGCCCAATCATCTACTTTTAAAATGCGGGGAGAAATATTCTTATCTTATTAAAAAAGTATTTTATCTCAAAGCAATATCTAACACCATATTTTACATAAGATACTCGCTGTAACTACTGATGCAGCAACGATCTACTTCTAACCAACATAAAAAAAGGGATTTGCACTTCCAGTTATAAAGGAATAACTGATACAGAATTTGCCCACTATCAATAATTATTAAACTGAACAAAATATATGAAACAACTGTTTTCAGACAGTGACCCTGAAAATAAAACTGACAGGCAGCTTCTGGACTGGTGTAGTGAGACAGACTCCAGCAGACCAGCAGTCCCTGAAACTGACAGGACAGAGACTAGACTTCAGGGAGACTGAGACACTGGGATGTGCAGGGAGAAGCACCAAAGAGGATGGAGCTAAGCAGAGAATGTGCTCCAGAGCACGGAGAGAGGTGCCAAGTCTCTGGCTGAGTCACCACACACGGAGGAGTGGTCCACAGGAAGCAGTGAAGCAAACAGTTCCCACAGCTCACATTGACTATCATTCAAATTCTATCAGCCAGAGTGCAGTCTTTGTTAAGCACCCGGGACAACCAGCAGATATTCCAGAAAGGTCATCTCCTAGCAAAAAGGTTAAATTAGAGGAAAAGTCTAGACCTCCCCTAACAAAGCTTAAAAAAGACTGAAAAGGGGTGGCACCTGTGGCTCAGTGAGTAGGGCGCTGGCCCCATATACAGAGGGTGGCGGGTTCAAACCTAGCACCGGCCAAACTGCAACAAAAAATAGCCGGGCGTTGTGGTGAATGCCTGTAGTCCCAGCTACTCAGGTGGCTGAGGCAGGAGGATTCCTCCAGCCCAGAAGTTCAGGGCTACAGTGTGCCATTGATCACACCTGTGAGCAGCCACCATAGAAACAGAGCCAGACCACCCTGTCTCTAAAAAAACAAAATTTTTAAAGGACTGAAAGGATATACATGTCTTACAAGTAGCTTAACTGCCTGCCAAATTTCAACACTCTTTAAAAAAAAACACTCAACACCATAACATCTCGAACCATCTCCAAGATCTACTCAAAAATTACCAGACATGGCTCGGCACCTATAGTTCAACCGGCTAAGGCGCCAGCCACGTACACCTAAGGTGGCGGGTTCGAATCCCCAGCCCGGACCCGCCAAACAACAATGACGGCT